AAGTTTGCAGCCATTCATTTATTGATTTATTAAAATTCATATATGTGAATTTATACATTTTACTGAGGTTTGAATTTTGTCTGGGCCATTACGATGCATGCACATTTGACATACTTCGGTATACAGAGGAGTGACTGCAAGGTGTCCAGGTCCAGTGGCTGCAAAACAAACCCAAATCCTCACCCCCTCCACCACCGTGCTTGACAGTTGGTATGAGGTATTTGTAATGGTAATGGCGTGATTGGTTTTCACCAAATGTGGTGCAGTGCATTATGGGTAAACATCTCCACTTTGGCGCTGTCTGTTTAATTGACATTATTCCAAACATCTTGTGGTTTGTTCAGGTTTAACATCTAAGCTGTGTTCCCATGTTCTTTTTACAGAGAAGAGACTTTCTCTCCACGGCAGGCTTTCCAAACAAACCATACTTGTTCAGCCTTTTTGTAATTGTACTGTTATGAACATTTAAGATGCTAACTAAGACCTGTAGAGTCTCAGATGTAGGTTGCAGATTTTTTGGTCTTTGAGCATTGCATGGCCTGACCTTGGGGTGAATCTGCTGGGACGTCCACTGCTGGGAAGATTGGCAGCTGTCTTAAATGTTTTCCACCTGTGAATAATCTTTCTCAGTGCAGATTGATGGACTTCAAATTGTTTGGAAATGTCCTTTTAACCCTTCCCAGATTGATTGGCAGCAATAATTGCTTCTCTATTGCTGATATCTTTCCTCCTTGGCATTGTGTTAACACTCACCAGAATGCTCAAGACGTGCAAACTGGCAAAAGTGTAATATGCTATGTGTTATTTTTCATATGTGGTTGCCTTGCTTTAAGACTTGCTAAGGACCAGATTATTTTTATTATGTCCTGATTTGTAAAACCTTTGAATTTAAAGAGGGTGTGCTTTACTGTTCTCATTCTGCAGAATGAAGGCAAAACATCTAAAAGAAACAACTCCAACCAAAACACGTTACTGACTGGAGGGAAGCTCCAAGTATGATAATTTATTTGTGCTTTTACTTGAATGAACAATAATTTCTGCTGCCTGGGGTTTGTCAGTCAATACAATAACATGATGCTATGAGGAATCACGGGAGTTATTGTCTTTTTCAACATTTCTGATGAAATGATGTGACTTGAGCTGAGTTTATTACAGTTTCATTCACACTATTTTTTATTCTAATAAATCTTTTATTTAATATAGATCAAAAGGTAACAAGTAGCATTAGCTGCAGTAACATTAACTGCTAACCTAGCATCAGATGAGTTGACTGCTTAAGCTGTTACTTGAGCTAATGTTATATCCGATGCTCAGAATAACTTAGTGAATATTTGAATTACTTTAAGCTTATTGTCACCATTATTAACAAGTGTTTACAGGTGTTAGAGTAACCAGAGAGTGTAAAATGATGTGACAGGTTCTTTTTTGAACATTGTTGGAAATATTTGGACACCATCATATGTGCTTTCATTCTTTCATTTATGAATTAGTACTTTTACTAAATTAAAGACTGATTGTGTTTTTTTCACCAGTGTGCATTAAAGTGTGTTAATGTAAAAAAAACAAATTCTAAAACTTATAATTCAAGTTTAAAGTACATCAGCTATGGCACAGCCTAATTCTTGTCAATTTCTTCAGTTTCAGTGATGCCAAGAAAGAGGTATTCCCAGTACACTTGTCTCAAAAAAATGTCCTTTTTCAGTTTTTGCCATATGAAGCATTCAGCAAGGCTACTCACAGTTGCATAGGTTACTCAGCAATCCAGATAAAAGGGAGACACAGTCACGAGAAACTATGTTTCACAATATTAACATCAATACGCTGCCTCAAAAGAATTTGATGAGAGGCATTTAAGCCTGTGAAATTTCTCATTTTCCTCATGGCTGAGCAGCACAGACTCAGCCAGGACAGAGCAACACGTCTCCCAGCCATTAACCTGTAATTTCATTCTTCTTTAGAGACACACATCTTCCTTCCTTGTTTATTTTTCAGCAAGGAGCACAAAAAAAGCCAAATTGTACTGCAGCACATTACTTACAAAGCAGCAATACACGTTTCATTTCAGTGAGGAGTGGATCTCATTGTGTATCACTATCATGAGACGGGTTAATCCTCAGTGTATATGGGGTGGGTTATCTTTAACATGAGTTTAGTAGGAATGATCAATTCCAAAGAAAGTAGAGCATTACCTTTAAAGCAGATGTATGAAAAGTGAATGTGGGCAACACAAGAAGAAACAGTTTAGGAGTTCATAATGACATCGGAGATTTGTCTTGTAGGAGCTCAACCGTCAGTCAGCGAAACAGACTAGACACGCACGTCTGTACAAAGAAGCCCGAACATGTATGTGCATGTTTTTTTTCCATTCTGTCTTTTCTCTCTCCCATGTGCACACACACACACACACACATACCAATCGATAGGCAACTCACAGGCAATCAGACGCCATTATTTGTGAAGTTCCACTTCAGTTCACATGAGTTGATAAAGGAGGCTACTATTGATTCAGCGGCCCTGAAGGAGAGAGCAATTTAAGCAACCGATGGGGCATAAAACAAACTGGATCACAGGAAAGGCATAGCCATGGAGGGAGGACAGAAGGACATGTTTTTATAGATGGGCCCGGGGTAGCCAGGGAAAAAAGAAAAAGAAAAAGAAAACGCACTATACTTTAGCTTCTCAGGTGCCAGATTTCACATTTCTATTGATATTTTTAATCCGCACTGAGTTGATGTAATTATGCCTGAGCGCTATGATGCCAAAAGAACAAGCAGGTAATGACGATATGTAAATTTGGGGGGGGGGGGGGGGGGGGGGGGGGGTGTATTTCCACTGGAGTTTGAACAAACAAGTCATCTGGTTGATGAATGATGTACATTCGCTTATGTGGGGGCTCTTCATTAATATTCATTACACTGATGTACACAGCAGTCAACTGATGAGCCGCTCTCAAGATAACACCAGCAACAGCCAAAGTGTTTGTGTGTTTGAGTGCGATTAGGAGAGACAAAGGAGGAGGATGTGGCAGTGCAAATGAAGAACTGAGGAACAGAGTTGAACTGTTCAGAGGGAATCTCACCTGTCTAAACTCCTCCCATGAGTTGCTCCAGGTCCAGTAGTGTGCCTTGTATTCTCCAAGCCTCACAGCCATCAGTTCATTCCCACGGTAATAAAATATTGGCCTGAAGATGGCGAGAAGAGGCAGAAATAAAGCTCAGATTTACTTCAACTTGCATATATTAACATCAAATTGCCTTAGAAAATGTGGAGGAACGTAAACTCCCTAAAAATCACTCAGACTGTTGTGAATGTCTGTTTTTGGTCAAAATTAAGAGTCTGTCACTAGAAAAGGAGTGAATAATGGCAAAGAAAGCAAAAGTTGTGGGAGCCACACAGTTTTCAAAAAATATCATCCTGATGGACACATGAACCTTTGTACAGTGTTTTTATGCATTTGTATGAAGCCCTCAAATGTCAACATTTTCATAGCATATAGCAAAAAGACATTAAGATTCATTGTAGAGGCAATTACACTCGTCAGCCACTTTATTAGGCGCACCTGCTAATCAGCCAATCACATGGCAGCAATTCAGTGTCTTTAGGCACGTAGACGTGGGCAAGACGACCTGTTCAAGTTCAAACCGGGGATCAGAATGGGGAAGAAAGGTGATTTAAGTGACTATATATTTGGCATGGTTGTTGGGGTCAGATGGTCACCAGTAGATCAGAACCTGCTGATCAACTGGGATTTTCCAACACAACCATCTCAGAATTGAAACATAAGTAATTCAAATAACCACTTGTTATCACTAAATCTGCAACAGACCTTGAAGCAGATGGTCTGCTAAAAAAAGGAAACTGAACAATAGAAGATTTCAAATACGCTGCCTGGTCTTGTGAGTCTCAATTTCTGGTGCAACATTCAGATGCAAGGGTCAGAATTTGGCATAAATAAAAAGAAAGCATTGATTTATCCAACAATTTAGACTGGTGTTGGTGTAATGTTGTAGGGGATATTTTCTTGAGGAGTTAAGGAAGAACAAAAGTGTGTGTGTGTGTGTGTGTGCTCACCTGTTTTTGAGTGGCTGGGAGCAGTTGAGCAAAACAGGTGTTAGGTCCAGTCCGTCTAGGATTCGATCATCAGGAGGGTTGATGCCAGCGAGAACCAGACTAGTGGTGAACAGGTCCATGACATTGGCCAACTGGAAGTTCACCTATAGACAAGAGAAGAAAATAAACGGGTCTAGTAAAATAAGATGTTCCACACACACACACAGAAAAGCATGTTTGTTTGAGGACCATCCACAGAGAAACACACTACTAGAGTTTTGTCTTTTGATCGCTTGTTCACATCTTTCACGGGTTCTGAAATGTCCTCCTTGATGACTGAAGTCCTTGAAATCAAGAATGAGCTGTGGCAACATGCTAACAATGCACAGTCATGACAAGCATTCGTTCCATGTGTGGTTGTGTGTACACACGCAGGAAAAGAGATGCATTTCAACAGCCTCCACTCTAACCTCTGCATGCAGGTTTATTATTACAACTCCAAAATGCTTCTCTTTCTAAATTAGTTTTGGGAGGTGTTACGACCCGGCTCAAAAGCCGCAACATAAAAAAAAAGGAGATGAATAACAGAGTGTGGGTGAGAAGAGGTTTCATCCTAAAATGGAAAACCAGGTTGGCTAAAATGGCTGGTGCCACCAAGGCAAAGACTAGTGCACTGCCGGAAAGCTTGCCTCAGGTATGCTTTTATCCACACCTGACTAGGTGTGGCCAATTAGCACCAGCTGAAAACACTGAGACGATTAAAAGCTGCAGAGGGACGTAACAGGAGGGAAAAAAGGGGGAAAAAAGGAGGAGCAAAAAAAAAAAAGAGGAAAGGAGAGGAAGTAGAGAGAGGACAAGACATTGGCGAGAAGGTGGCTGAAGCTAGAGCGAGCTGGCGTTTTATCTCCTTCTCCCAGTCCCAGTGAAAAGCGTTATTTTATTTATAAACTTTGAACTATTTTGAGATAAAATGCCATTTTTTCGCTGTCATCCTTGATCTTCCGTTCCATTCTCTCCTGAGCGAGCCTTAGAGGGAGACGGCACGCTCACAATCAGATAGCGCTATCAGCCCTCTGCAGCTGCACCGCCATGTGCCGCTGTGCTCCTATCGGCAGCCAGCACACATACAGGCGTACACACAAGCTCCTAAGCACTGAAATGAATTCCCCTTTTCTTCTGTATCCACAGAACTAGCCACAGAAAGGGCTCTGCAATGCACTCCATGATCTATCTGCACATCCAGACGCTCTTTCTCTCTTTCGTGCGCGCGTACACAAACATGGAGAGATTTGGTCCTTTATTTTATTTTTCTTTTTTTTTTTTTAAGTCCCTCTAATACAGACACACACAGACCGTTAAAGAAGACAGGACAAAAGGACAAGAGGAGAAGCAGCACTGACATTTAGTTGGGAATAACTTGCGTCTCCAAAAACTGAAAGTTTAAAACTCGGACTGGTCTGACAGAGTTTATCTCACGAGTTGCCATCTTTTATTTCCTCCCTTATTAGCTCTGCTCTCTTTTGCAGTCTAAGCTGGGTTTTTTTTTTTCAAATCACCCTTTGTTCTTTTCTCTTTTGTCCCACTCTTTGCTCCCTATTAATGTCACATTCTCCTGTTTTCTCCATTGTAAGCAGTGTTTATCTGAGGAGGCAGTGCTTCTATCCCCATCTCTGCCACTCTGCCAGTGTGTCTGCAGCCTGATAACCCACCGAAGGGGATTGCGATGCTCAACGATGTTGTGGCACTGTCAGCCCACCCACCTCCCAATCTCTGTTCCTGTAGCCACCATGCAGCCCCTCACCTGCCCTCAGGCACAAGGAGAATGCTTCAGAGCACCCGTGCGCCCTCATCTCAGATCTGCTCCTTCCATCCTCCAAAATATACAGTAAGTGAATGACTAATCAAAAACATTCACCTGCACTCAGACTCGTGTCAGTTTAATTGAGTCATCACTCATATTCATTCACTGATAACAGGCTTTATTTTCTATTAATAGGCATGGAAATACCAAGCTCATGTAAATGAAGCCAATGGAAAAACCCTACAAAACCTGCGGTTCCGAGTCAATCCCCGTGGACTGCCATATTAACATCTCTAACTTTCTAGCAAAATTTAATATGTGAACAGGCTGATAACTGTATGCAGGATGTGTCTGAACTCGCCTGTTTGAACTGTATCAAGGCCTAAAGCTATGCTCTATCTACAGCCAACCAGTCTGCTGTCTATCTGCTGGGTTTAACCTCCACCAGTTCAACTCACTGAACTAGATCTCTTGACTGTTTTAATGTTTGTGCCATCTGGAGTTTTTAATGTGGTCACCTTAAGGTAACTGTTGTTGTGATTTGGCGCTCTATCAATAAAAATAAATTAAACTAAATTAAAATTCTGGTATCGCATGTTCTTTATAAATAATAATAAATAAATAAACCAAGATGACAGCAGACACAATGCTAACTGTTGAAATAGTATTTTTTTGTCTCCAATTCCCAAATTTCTCCTGTGTTCTGTGTTGGGTCACTACAATAAACCTAATAAATCCCCCCATTTAAGAAAAGCTTGCCAGCTTGGTAACTTGTCTCCAGAATTTTGTTCAGAGGGTTTACAGACTTTTCAAAGCACCGATCAACAGAGATTTGAAAAGACTACAAAATAAAGACAGGGGGACAATCTTGTATCTGTTATCCTTCCTCCCAAGTGACACAAAGTGATAAATCCAGAGCTATAGAGCACAGAAACTCCAGCACAATAGCCTTGTCATCACATCCCTGGATATTTCAGGATCTACAGTCCCCTTTCTACTAAAACTCGAGTCAAGTCATTACAACTACACACACACACACACACACACACACACACACACACACACACACACACACACACACACACACACACACACACACACACACACACAGGTGTTTTAAGGTTAGAAAGCTCTCTCTCATTCAAACAAACGTGCACATATAGTTGTGTGGGAGCTAACATAAATTACACCGACATGTTCTGCACCCTTGCATGTGCATATAGAGGCACACTGGTCAATTATAACATGGCACAGGTGCAGGCAAAGCCTTACAAACGCTAAAACCATCCTGGCAGTGTGGCAGTGCTGCAATCTTTAGCACTCTTCCCCCTTTTCTCTTTTCTACACCAGCCACCTCTTTTACTTCTTCCTTGCCTCTTTCCCTCCAACCCCCCCACCCCCTCCCGTTCCTTTATCCTGAGCGCCTGGCATATTCAGATACTGAAGTCCTCATTACGGCTCAATCCAACCTCAGCAAACACACAAACAGATTAGCCGCTTAAGACGCTCCCAATCCCCCTCTCCCTCGCTACTCTGCTGTGCTATCAGGCCCCAGCACAACCCTGTGAGATGAGCCAGGGGCAAGGCTTACTGCAGACTGCAGCCTCCGCTTGCTCCTCCACAAAATCCCTCTGCGTCACAGCCCCGTGTCACAGCTGCCCCTAATACAATTAAAAGTCATTTGCAGAACGCACAGGCTTAGGGGATCACAGTGTGGGTGGGGGGTTAAATTGGGGAATGTGAGGAGGGGGGTTTGGGGCATTAATTCCAGAAATATTTTAGGAAACAGTAGAAAAAGGCTCCCACTTGCTTTGTGGCCAAAATCACAGTCTGGCTTTCTGGAGTTCGGCTCTGTTTGACAGAAGCTGGACACAGTCGGGATTAATTGACGCCAGTGGATCAAATTGTGTATGTGTAAATAGCTAATTGATACATAAACAAAAAGCTACAATGATTGTTTGAAAGAGAGAACGAGTAAAATAATTCCTTTATACATAACTTGCTTCACATTTTCAGCTCCTGGTACAATCTGATTGGCAGAAAGTCAGGGAACAACAAAGCATAGAATAATAAGCTGTCCTCTGGGTGCCTGGACTAAGATTAGACTAGCCTCTCGAGAGCACGTGTTGTATTTTATTGTGGGGTTTTTCATGCTTTATTTGGTAAAAGCTCTAATGACTGGGGCTTTCTTACTGAGCCTTCTTTGATGTGCCCAGGCCACCAAGCAATGGCAGGCTCCCTCATGCCTCCCTCAAAGGTGGTCTCCTTCCCACAGAGGAAGGGTCCGTTGCTGCCACCTGAGGAGTCAAAAACCACAAAAACACCTGCATCAATCACACGGGACACAAAAGCGAGTCAGAATTAGATAAAAAAAAGCACTTTCTTTATGAAATAATTGCCTACTTTCATTGGGGCCAGACATAACAGCTGCACCGTTGTCTGAGGTGAAGAAGACAAAGGTATTATTGTCAATACCAAGAGTTCGCAGCCACTTCAAAATCTGACCGATGCTGTAGTCCAGCTCCATCACCGCATCGCCATAGCTGCAGCACAAAGGCAGATCACGTTTTTCACCTTGATACAATCATTTATAACCACTTGCATGACATTGTCTTTGCGTCAATAGGAGAGTCAGCAGGATAAAATGTACCGGCCTCGCTGGCTCTTCCCTAAGAAGCGTTTGGAGGCATAGACGGGTGCGTGAGTGGCATCGACTGCCCAGTAGAGGAAGAAGGGCTGCTGAGCTTTAGTTTGACGAAGTATGAAGTCAAGACCTTCCTGCAGAGGTGGAAGAATACGTCATTACACTGGGAATACAAAAGCCAGGAGACTTACTGCAGCCTCTTTCACAGCATTGCAGTTAAGGTAAGAAGAATTCTCTTTCTCACTCACTAAACACTCAAACAGTGTTTTCAAGTAAAGCAGTGCGTCAGACAAGCCTTCAATAAAACCGCCTCCAAGCAGAGAGCATGGAGTTCAGTTTTTGTTTAAACTGTTTTAGATAGAGACTCATCAGCCTTCTTAGGTATTGTTGTACTAAGGAGTCTCCAACGTGTTGTCTAGCCTGTTGAAATCAATAAAAGCAAACTGAGGAACATCTCTTGATACAATGCAAAACAGTTTCAACAGTTTCAACAAAAACACACATTCTAACTGTCATGTAGGCACAATACTGTATTGTAGTTTTAGCAGTTTATTAACACTGAAACACTGAAAACTGAGCTTGTAACCCAGGAAAAGGATGGTTACAATTAATCTAAAACGCTTTGCTAATTACATTTCAGACACTTACATTTGCATCAATTGTTCTTTATTACAAAAAGAGACAATCGTTTTGCACACAGATAAATATTTTACAGTAGATGACTGCAAATTTGCCAGTTATCCAAACAAAACTTAACAGTTACAAAAAGAAATCTGATTTTTGCTTAATGTTCACCAAGTTTTAAGACATGCTGCCTTTCACAGGACCGCCCTCTTCCAGTGATGACACACCCTTCCAACATGCAGTGTGTCTCTGCATGCTGGTTTTGATCATGTTCCAAACTGAATGGGAAGGACTGCCGCAGCAGAGATAATCAGTGCACTTCCTCTGGTTAAATTACAGTAATTATTAAAGGCCAGAATTAGGCTTTACCTGCATTCATTATTTATTTTCAATTATATGTTTTTAATTTTTTCATATTTGGGTGAGCCAAGGTAAAAGTCTGTATTCTGGCAGGCAGTAACATTTTGTCCCCGCCCTATGAGAGCTGGGATAGGCTCCCAGAAGACAAAAGGTGGGTTAACAAGTTGCTAGTTTAACACAGGCAGGACCGTTCTGTCAACTGCTTTACAAAACATTGCATCAAAATGTGATGTACCTGGTATGAGTATGTCACACTGAGACAGCAACAACAGGTGATCCTTTGCTTACCATCAGGTAGATCTGTGTGAGGTTTGACTCTCCAGTCTCTCTGTCAATCTTAAAGTCCTCATAGAATCTGAAAAAAATAACAAATGTATACATTTCATTGACAACACCTTCGTCCCATCTGAATAATAGCTAAGGTCAAGCTGGCCTATTTATCGGCTGTGTTAAAAAAAGATTTAGCAGTAACCTGATTGTGTCATCAGTCTGCCTCCAAACTGACTGAAACTACTGTGGACTATGTGATTAGGAGAAAGGAAGTAAATTTCCCTCCTGTTGAGGGTGTTTGCAGGAAATTTTGGTGAAAGCCATATTTGGGAAGTGTCAGCGAAGCTGAGCAGAGGGAACTGTTATGAGGCGCTGCTGAAGCGTGGCGCAGCAAACAGAGAAGCAGTGACAGGCATCTCTTTCTTACGCTTCACTTCCTCCAGGTGTCCTCGCACACAGCCAACGCAACCTGCCGTCTCTTGAGGGCATGTGTGTGTCTCCCTGTATATGTGCCTACGTGTGTGTGTGCTTCTGTCCAGGGCCCAGGTATGCAGTGCTGATTAAACCCATGGCTAAGCGAAAAACACGCCCGGCTGCCAGTTCCAATGACCCTGAATACACATATGGCTGTTTTGGGGAAAACAAATGGGCGGAAAATGGAATACACAAGCACAGCTGGTACAAAGAAGGAAGAAGGGCGGGGGGGGGAGAGACACTCAACTCATCCTGAGGAGCAGACAGCCAAACTATTCCACTGAGTCATGGGGAAGGAGATTTGTATATAGATTTTCAGCCTTGCTGTGTGTTTGTGTGTGATATTACCTGCCGAGCATCTCAGAGTTGTTGTAGACAGGGATGTTTGGTATCGACTGGTCGTTATAAGGGCCAAAGTGGCAGTTTGGTGAACCAAACCATTCATCAAAACCGTTCTTCAGAGGAAGATACTGTGGTCTGTGGCCCAGGTGCCTATAGCGACAAATAAAGTGCATTCACACACTAAGATCAGTGTAGCTGAAGATCAACCCATATGTTTTTGTATATTTACTCTTAAGCCCTAGCTATAAAGTCAGATATTCTTGCCCTGATATTTTTTTTCTAAAGGCTGAATGCAGTTTTTTTTCTGTTTGGATGCAAATACTTACAGTTCGTCACAGTATACTATGTAGACAAATTTTCACATTTTAGAGGCTTAAAACTTGACACTGTGCATCTGCTTTAATGACTAACAAAATATGATGGTGGCATCAGGAAGACTTTGTTCTCATCTTAGCTGCACAGAAAGTCTATGTAATCTTACTTAAAGAAAAGAAGAAGAAATAAGAAAATAAACACTCTTTTTTGTATATTTGCAAATATACTGCACCATATACTTCCACCAGCACTCCTTCCACAACTGATCACTGCTCTCTAAACCTTCAGAGACTTTAAAACCTGAGAAAAGATAAAGAGCTCACCATTTCCCAACTATCTTGCTGACATAGCCCTTTGTCTTCAGCAGCTGGGGTAACAAAATCTCATCCTTGGATATACCTCCTACTATGTCCTGTGGTGTGTATGCTGCAAAAAATAGATCCAAATTTAAGGTACTGAACTTTCCTTTGCTGCAACTATACTGTAAACTGCACAGTATAGATAATGCAGTGAGAAATCAGCAAGAAATTATTTGCACAATGCAAATGCACTC